ATGGGCTCCAGATATAGAGGTCTCATTGGGGTCCCGATCCTGAAATATAATAACAGCCATATATTAAGTATATATAAGAGCGGGAGGAAACCTGAGAAAAATCCATTTCCAATAAATGTCCATTTATTTAAAAAGGATACTGTGCTGATTCACTGTGTCTACAGCGTACTATCATCTCCCAGGAACGTTATCTTATCAATCTTCCCCATTAGCTGTATCACCTCTTCATCACAGTTGTATAATTATATGTTTAAACATGTAATGTAATACGAGTTTTATAAAGTAACACCTTGCTGCTGTACAACACCTGTCTTCGGTACAGTTACACCTTGGTATAGTAACATCTTGCTACAATTACATCTTGTTTCAATGGCACCTTGCAACAGTAACAACTTAATAGAATGACACCTTGCTACAGTACTCCTTGCTTAAATGGCACCTTGTTATAACAACATCTTAGTACAGTGACACTTTGCTACAGTGACACTTTGCTACAGTGATACTTTGCTATAGCACACCTTGCTTAAATGACACCTTGTTATAACAACACCTTAGTTCAGTGACACTTTGCTACAGTACACCTTGCTTAAATGGCACCTTGTTATAACAACACCTTAGTACAGTGACACATTGCTACAATGACACGTTGATAAAGTGACACCTGGCTTTAATGGCACCTTTTTATAACAACACCTTAGTACAGTGACACTTTAATACAGTACACCTTGCTAAAATGGCACCTTATTATAGCAACACCTTAGTACAGTGATACTTTGCTACAATGACAAGTTGATAAAGTGACACATTGCTACCATGACACTTTGCAGTACACCTTGCTTAAATGACACCTTGTTATAACAACATCTTAGTACAGTGACACTTTGCTACAGTGATACTTTGCTATAGTACACCTTGCTTAAATGACAACTTATTATAACAACACCTTAGTACAGTGACACTTTGCTACAGTACACCTTGCTTAAATGAAACCTTGTTATAACAACACCTTAGTTCAGTGACACTTTGCTACAGTACACCTTGCTTAAATGGCACCTTGTTATAACAACACCTTAGTACAGTGACACATTGTTACAATGACACGTTGATAAAGTGACACCTGGCTTTAATGGCACCTTTTTATAACAACACCTTAGTACAATGACACTTTAATACAGTACACCTTGCTAAAATGGCACCTTATTATAGCAACACCTTAGTACAGTGATACTTTGCTACAATGACAAGTTGATAAAGTGACACATTGCTACCATGACACTTTGCAGTACACCTTGCTTAAATGACACCTTGTTATAACAACATCTTAGTACAGTGACACTTTGCTACAGTGATACTTTGCTATAGTACACCTTGCTTAAATGACACCTTATTATAACAACACCTTAGTACAGTGACACTTTGCTACAGTACACCTTGCTTAAATGAAACCTTGTTATAACAACACCTAAGTACAGTGACACCTTGCTGCAATGACACTTTTCTACAGTAACATTTTGCTGCAATGACACCTTGTGTGCTGTAATGAAACCTTACAGCAATAAAAACTTAATAAAATGACACCATGGTTCAGTGACACATAGCTACAATTATATCTTGTTACAAAAACATCTTGTTACAATGACATCTTCCTAAAATGAAACTTTGTTACAACATCACCTTGCTACAAGGACATTATAACAAAAACACCATGCTTAAATGACCCCTTGCTACAATGAAATAATAACAAAAAAAACTTGCTGAAATGACACCTTATTACAGTGATACTTTCTACAGTAACACATTGCTATAATGACACCTTGCTTAAGTGACAATTTCTACAATGACACTTTCTACAGTGATACATTGCCACAATGACACCTAAGTACCGTGACACTTTCTACAGTGATACATTGCTACAATTACACTGTAGTACAGTGACACTTTCTACAGTGATACGTTACTACAATGACACCTTAGTACAATGACACTTTCTACAATGACACCTTAGTACAGTGACACTTTCTACAGTGATACGCTACTACAATGACACCTTAGTACAATGACACTTCCTACAGTGATACATTACTACAATGACACCATAGTACAATGACACTTTCTTCAGTGATACATTACTACAATGACACTTTCTACAGTGATACATTACTACAATGACAACTTAGTACAATGACACTTTCCACCTTAGAACAGTGACACTTTCTTCAGTGATACATTACTACAATGACACCTTAGTACAATGACACTTTCTACAGTGACACATTGCTACAATGACACCTTAGTACAATGACACTTTCTACAGTGACACATTGCTACAATGACACCTTAGTACAATGACACTTTCTACAGTGACACATTGCTACAATGACACCTTAGTACAATGACACTTTCTACAGTGATACATTGCTACAATGACACCTTAGTACAGTGACACTTTCTACAATAACCCTTTCTACAATGATACCTTAGTACAGTGACACTTTCTACAGTGATACATTGCTACAATGACACCTTAGTACAGTGACGCTTTCTACAATGACACTTTCTACAATGACACCTTAGAACAGTGACACTTTCTACAATGACACTTTCTACAATGACACCTTAGAACAGTGCCACTTTCTACAGTGATACATTACTACAATGACACCTTAGTAAAATGACACTTTCTACAATGATACATTACTACAATGACACCTTAGTACAATGACATTTTCTACAATGATACATTACTACAATGACACCTTAGTACTGTGACACTTTCTACAGTGATACATTACTACAATGACACCTTAGTACAGTGACACTTTCTACAGTGATACATTGCTACAATGACACCTTAGTACAGTGACACTTTCTACAATGACACTTTCTACAATGACACCTTAGAACAGTGACACTTTCTACAGTGATACATTACTACAATGACACATGGCTAAAGTGATACTTTCAACACTGATACGTTACTACAATGACACCTTAGTACAATGACACTTTCTACGGTGATACATTACTACAATGACACCTCAGTACAATGACACTTTCTACAGTAATACATTACTACAATGACACCTCAGTACAATGACACTTTCTACAGTGACACATTGCTACAATGACAGCTTAGTACAATGACACTTTCTACAGTAATACATTACTACAATGACACCTTAGTACAGTGAAACTTTCTACAGTGATACATTGCAACAATGACACCTTAGTACAATAACACTTTCTACAGTGATACATTGCAACAATGACACCTTAGTACAATGACACTTTATACAGTGATACATTACTACAATGACACCTTAGTACAATTACACTTTCTACAGTTATACATTGCTACAATGACACCTTAGAACAGTGACCCTTTCTACAGTGATACATTACTACAATGAAACCTTAGTACAATGACATTTTATACAATGATACATTACTACAATGACACCTTAGTACAATAACACTTTCTACAGTGATACATTGCTACAATGACACCTTAGTACAGTGACACCTTAGTACAGTGATACATTACTACAATGACACCTTAGTACAGTGACACTTTCTACAGTGATACATTACTACAATGACACCTTAGTAGAATGACATTTTCTACAATGATACATTACTACAATGACACATTAGTACAATGACACTTTCTACAGTGATACATTGCTACAATGACACCTTAGAACAGTGACACTTTCTACAATGACACCTTAGAACAGTGACACTTTCTACAGTGATACATTGCTACAATGACACCTTAGTACAATGACACTTTCTACAATGATACCTTAGTACAGTGATACTTTCTACAGTGATGCATTGCTACAATGACACCTTAGTACAGTGAAACTTTCTACAGTGATACATTGCTACAATGACACCTTAGTACAGTGAAACTTTCTACAGTGATACATTGCTACAATTACACTGTAGTACAGTGACACTTTCTACAGTGATACATTACTACAATGACACCTTAGTACAGTGATACATTGCAACAATGACACCTTAGTTCCGTGACACTTTCTACAATGATACATTCCTGCAATGACACCTTAGTACTATGACACTTTCTACAATGATACCTTAGTACAGTGACACCTTAGTACAATGACAATTTCTACAGTGATACCTTAGTACAGTGAGACTTTCTACAGTGATACCTTAGTACAGTGAGACTTTCTACAGTGATGCATTGCTAAAATGACACCTTAGTACAGTGACACTTTCTACAGTGATACATTAATACAATGACACCTTAGAACAATGACACTTTCTACAATGATACATTACTACAATGACACCTTAGTACTGTGACACTTTCTACAATGATACCTTAGTACAGTGATACTTTCTACAGTGATGAATTGCTACAATGCCACCTTAGTACAGTGAAACTTTCTACTATGATACATTACTACAATGACACATTAGTACTGTGACACTTTCTACGATACATTACTACAATGACACCTTAGTACAGTGAAACTTTCTACAATGATACCTTAGTACAATGACACTTTCTACAATGACACCTTAGTACAGTAACACTTTCTACAGTGATACATTGCTACAATGGCACCTTGCAACAACAACACATTGCTAAAATGACAACTAGATAAAATGACACCTTGTTAGTAACACCTTAGAGTTTGTATTTCGCGGTTCCATCCACAGTGAAGGCAAAGGGACCTTACTCTTAATTGGAATTTTCACAAAATAGGACACAATATTTTCATTGGAGCAGAGGAAGTAATGTCCCACATTTTCTTTTCTTCAGAAAATGTTGCTTCTTTTTTTGCTTATAGATGTTGGACAGAAGGGATAAATGTATGATAATATAATAATTAACCCTTTCACCCCTATGTAGCTTTAGTATACTCTGCCATTCATTGATATGGATGAGTCCGTTATGGTCTACAGTGGTGCAACAGATATGTTCAAGTTAATGAATTGTCATTTTGTATCTTCTGTTCTAACAGGTGAAAGCACTCCATGGTTTGGGGACAACGATAGATGTTATCCTAGTCAATGGAAAGCTTAGAGAAGGGGACCTGATGGTGGTACCTGGCACTGAGGGACCTATCGTCACACAAATCAGAGGGCTGCTCATGCCCCAACCCATGAGGGAACTCCGGGTCAAGGTCAGTATGTAGGGGTCACAGGTCAATGTAGTTATTCTAGTTGTGCTTTTTATTTTCTTTGAAAGTGTTAAGAAATATATAATCACTTAATATAAAATCACTATTTCCGCATGTTTTACAAGTGTAGTCACAAATTATATTGGATTTTACTGGAAAATTATTGCAGATATGTAAACATGGACTTATATATGGATATTTAATGTACTCAATAAAGACAATTTAAAATGAACAGTCTTTTGTCCTAGTTATGATGAAAGTTCCAATTTTATAGAAATATTATTTCAGTGTGCTAAACAATTTTGGTTTCTCTCCTCAAATAAATTGTTAATAATTTTGCATGTTTTTTGGGGGGGTCTTAAGAGGAAGGAACAGATTTGATTTTGAATCACTCTTAAATTAAATTGTCAGATTTGTCAAGAGTGGCTTTTCAAAAAAGAAAAAATAATTTCCTTGTAAATAACTCCTGGGTTTATATGGATGTGTTTGTTGTGTTCCAGAGTCAATGGGAACATCATAAGGAGGTCCTGGCTGCCCAGGGAGTGAAGATCATCGCCAAGGACATGGAGAAAGCTGTCGCAGGGCTACCTCTCTATGTTGCTAAGAACCAAGACGAAACAGAGTATTATAAGGTGAGAGGGAATAATTTTGTAACATTATCTGCTTTTTTCAGGGTTTTTCATCCTGTTTCCTTCTTTTTACGTGTTTCCATATTTCTTGGTAATCATCTTTTCACCTTGCATGTTGAAGTTTTGGTTCATATTTTTTCTTTCGTAAGCGGAATTCAAAATAAGAATAATACTGCATCAAGATTTAGGGTAAGGACAAAATCTTGTAATTTAAGATGGAATAGTGACATGGTTTGGTGTATGAAAATAGAGTTTAGATAACGTTGGGTTTGTTATAACAGTAAATATTTGATGATTTGTCCGTGCCTTGTTGAATGGGTTGGATTATTGGGAATATTTGACATGCAAAAAAGAAATGGGTTTCTCAGTATTTACGGGAGTGCATTTAAGTTTTTTAGAGGGTATTCTCCCCTGAAGCAATTTAATTTACCCATTTTCATTTTACATTTTCCCAATTCGAATGTTTAACATTTTACTACAATTATCAATATTTCCGTTTTGCTCCTGTAATTGTACATGGTGCAAAGAGTTAAGTACTTTATAAATGTCCTCAAAATCTTTCATCGTGATTATTGTTGTTCTCTTTGTAGATAAAAATCATATTCTCCATATTTTGTGAAAATGACGCTATAATTTACCAGTTAAATAAAGACACGGGTTACAGTGAAATAGAGTGCAAAAATCATTGTCCTCTCAAATGTTGAATAAAGTTGGCAGCTGAATGAGTGGTGACGGGTTTAACAAGACTGAAGTGGACGCTCTTCAATATCCATACATTTACTGTTAGAAGGAGATAATACTGTTTTGACTGTTTCATGTTTGATGTCAGGGCAGTGAAAAATGGGATTGATAATCACACATGCACTCACCAGCTCTTGAATGTCATGACTAAGCGAGAAAAAAATCATTATTGATAAACGGAGGTTAATTTTCTGGGTTGTAAATTCTCTATTGATTTGATGACTGCACCTCTAGGTCTGTTTGTACAATTTTACCAGTTTGTGGTTTGTCTCGCTAACAGGCCTGGCAAAATTCTAAACAAAAATTGTCAGGGTTCATTGTTCGAACGATATTCATTGTACGTAGTAATCAATATGTAAAAAGGTTCGTCCCGTATACTTTTTTGTCTGGGTTGTATAGGTGTAAGTGGAGAATTGCTACTAGTAATAATGCGTTGTCGACAGACCGTGACGAGTGATGGTGATAACTTCACTAGGTCAGTCGTAACCTCAAACCACAGACCTGCGATACACAAAACTTTTACGCTTTTGTTGCTCTTTCAACTTTTACAAATGAAATTTCTTTTCAAAACAGTACATACGAGCCAGCAGTATCGGATCTATTACCGTCCAATAAAAGGAAAAAAGGTTTTCAATTTAAATCACAATATTTATTTTTCTCTTGTTGAAAGGAATCGCATTGAATCACATTGTATAATGGGTCCATGATGTTGCAGTTTTTTTACCAAAGCAAGCGTGGGTCTTTATCTAGGAGAGGCAAGCTATTAGCTGTATTGTCTTGGCAAAATCTATGTTATCTTTGTAATCTGTGGATATAAGGCCCGTTAAAGGCTTTTTTGGGGAATGCTCTTAAATGACATTTTAAAGTTAGAAAATAATGAAGTGATGTGATGTTTAGGTAGAAGTTGAAAATTGATTGTTTATATGAAATATTTCATTGTTTACTCCAAAACTAGAGGAATGTAGAGCTTTGTACTGATGATGTCTAACTTTGGTGTACAGGGGGGTGTATGTCGCTAGCTACAGGTGCCCATGTATACATGTGTCCAAGAATAAAGGTTACTTAGTACACACACGTCTAAATATTTTCCAGTGAAAAAACCTGATCTGCTTTATTTCCCAAGACAAAACAAATTCTTTTTCCAAAATGGAGAATGGTTTAGAATTATCTTTTATGAAAATAATAGTATATATTTCTAAAATTCATACTGCCACATGCTGATGTAAACTTGAGGTAGAAAACAAACCACAAATAATATATAATTATAATATTAATAATAATATACAACATTTATATAGCGCCCTATTTAATTTGTGAAATTACTCTAAGGCGCTTTACAACATATGGAAATAGTAATGGTTATAATTGTGAAAACAAACAACAAAGGCTTGCAATCACTTTCATACATTTAACAAGCAATGTGCACATAATTGAACAAATAAAAGGGTGGTATTTACATGACGTCTTTGCAAAGATTCTAAAATGCAGACATGAAGAGGTGAGTTTTTATGTCCCTCTTGAACTTGGCTAGGGTATTTGACTTCCTAATAGCAGATGGTAAGCTATTCCACATCGTAGCCGAAACCCTCCCAAAGCATCTGTTAATATACTTTAAAACATGTATATAATGTGTACTGTTTCAGTTATTGTGCTGAAAAAATATTTCATTTCTTTCATTTCCTTCATCTTGTTTCCTAATATGTGCATATGGATGCATTATTTCATCAATGTATTAAAAAAATTGAGTATGCTAAAATAATTTATTAAACAGTACATTTACTGAATATCTTACCTGGATGTGAACAGGAATATGGGTGTCGTAAACTACAGGCATTTAATTATACAGGTGTCCAAATAAACAGGTGTTTACATAGGTATTACCTGGATGTGTAGAGATGTTTCTGTCATTGACTAGAGTTGTCTGAGTATACAGGTTTTTATGTAGGTATTACCTGGATGTGTAGAAATGTTTCTGTCATTAACTAGAGGTGTTGGTTATACAGGTATTTATGTAGGTATTTCCTGGATGTGTAGAGATGTTACTGTCACTGACTAGAGTTTTCTGAGTATACAGGTGTTTATGCAGGTATTACCTGGATGTGTAGTGTTGTTTCTGTCATTAACTAGAGGTGTCTGATTATACAGGTATTTATGTAGGTATTACCTGGATGTGTAGAGATGTTACTGTCACTGACTAGAGTTGTCTGAGTATACAGGTGTTTATGTAGGTATTACCTGGATGTGTAGAGATGTTTCTGTCATTAACTAGAGGTGTTGGTTATACAGGTATTTATGTAGGTATTACCTGGATGTGTAGAGATGTTTCTGTCATTAACTAGAGGTGTCTGAGTATACAGGTGTTTATGTAGGTATTACCTGGATATGTAGAGATGTTTCTGTCATTGACTAGAGTTGTCTGAGTATACAGGTGTTTATGTAGGTATTACTTGGATGTGTAGAGATGTTTCTGTCATTAACTAGAGGTGTCTGATTATACAGGTATTTATGTAGGTTTTACCTGGATGTGTAGAGATGTTTCTGTCAATAACTAGAGGTGTCTGATTATACAGGTATTTATGTAGGTATTACCTGGATGTGTAGGGGTGTTTCTGTCATTAACTAGAGGTGTCTGATTATACAGGTAGTTATGTAGGTATTACCTGGATGTGTAGAGATGTTTCTGTCAATAACTAGAGGTGTTTGATTATACAGGTATTTATGTAGGTATTACCTGGATGTGTAGAGATGTTTCTGTCATTAACTAGAGTTGTCCAAGTATACAGGTGTTTATGTAGATATTACCTGGATGTGTAGGGGTGTTTCTGTCATTAACTAGAGGTGTCTAATTATACAGGTATTTATGTAGGTATTACCTGGATGTGTAGAGATGTTTCTGTCATTAACTAGAGGTGTCTAATTATACACGTGTTTATGTAGGTATTACCTGGATATGTAAAGATGCTTCTGTCATTAACTAGAGTTGTCCAAGTATACAGGTGTTTATGTAGGTATTACCTGGATGTGTAGGGGTGTTTCTGTCATTAACTAGAGGTGTCAAAGTATACAGGTGTTTATGTAGGTATTACCTGGATATGTAGAGATGTTTCTGTCATTAACTAGAGGTGTCTGAGTATACAGGTGTTTATGTAGGTATTACCTGGATATGTAGATATGTTTCTGTCATTAACTAGAGGTGTCTGAGTATACAGGTGTTTTTTATAGATGGTACTTGGAGGTGTTGTGTAACATTATCTTCAGGTGTCTAAATATATAAGTGCAAAATATTGCTGATCATATCTGGATGTAGGTCGTTAACTACAGGTGTCCAAGTACACAGGTGTAATAGTGGTGGTTTAGTTGATTTGTGAAGATGAAATTTGATATGGTGGTCTTTGTTGGGTTTGTGACTACAGCTTTCAGCGCTGGTGTATGCAATCTGATATTTCCTGTCAGCTATATACAGGTATGGTGGTGTAAGGAGACCAGGTGTGCACGGTTTGTCAGCCTAGCCCTACAATAGAAGTTTGCTAATTCATTTAAACCTATGCAAGAGAAAATCTTTAGAAAGCTATTATTTAAGGGTGAAAGATATAAGATGTCTGGTGATTTTCAACATTTGTGTCAAGAAAGAAAGTTAAAAAAATCGAAGGATCTGCAGATGCAGTGTTTCTAAGTTACATCGACTGAAGCTATCCAGACTGATGGCAGCCATCCCACTGATGACACCTGGAGAACAGCCGACTCATACCTGTCAAAATATCAGTTGTCCTCACCATGAATTTTGAATTAAAGGGCTGTGATTAATTATCGACAGTTGACTGTAGATAGATTTTATGAATGGGTTGGTGTTTCCGGTCTACTAGCCCTGTGTGAAGGCCACCTTCTTTATAGCTAGTTATGGGGTAATCAGTCGTCCTCAATGTTCAACATTTGGCAAACAGGCTATTGTGATTGGGGCAATTTGCAAAATTAACCCCTTTTTTTTCCCAATGAATTTGTTTTATTTGTGTCATATTTGGGACATGTAAGAGATTAGATATTTTTCATTTAATCTATGATCAGAATCAATCAGTAGTTTGAAATAAAAGGTTTTAGTCACCAGTTTTCTGAGGAGGAACTGAAATATACCCGCGGGGGCACTAAAATGTATCTGAGGAGGAAAGGGTACTACAATTTGCCCTAGAAGTGGATTAAAAAAAATTCTTAAGGAGGGAGGGGGGCTAAAAACGGTGTAGGAGACATTTGCTAACCTTTAAAAAATT